TCACAGACCCAATACCCCGGGTCAGCATCCTAACAATAGTAAAAATTAACTTGAGTTTGCATAATTATTATGAAAGCAATACATTACAAAGTTGAAATATTCAGAGCTGGTACAATATTGTAAACAAATTTGCGTAATTAGAAAAGCAGTGCACTAAGTAAACGACGTTGATATATTCAAAGCCAGTACAGAGTTGCATACAAGTTGCGTAATGACAGTACCGTCGGACATAATAACAATTTTACTAGATCGACGCACGGACCACAAAAGAAAATAGTTGCTAAGATAACGCGCCAGTTCAGTGCGTGACTTGGGGTCAAACTTCGGTCAACACACACTTGATGCCAGCATCACCGCGCAGCAAGTTTCGCAAAGTACTTGAAGTTCAATTGCGTCCCAAAATGATGTCGCTGATCACCCAGTTGTCGCAGCGTGTGTTGTGTCATGTCCATGATGCACCCCGTTTCGACTTTGACTTGCTTTTCCTTCTTAGTGCATGTTCTTGTTCACGTAAAATGCGACCTCTCACCAATGTATTAAAATACTTTGATTTTATACTTTGCATGATATTTGATCAACGCGAAACATTATTTTTTCTAGACCATTTTTATCAACGCAGGGTTATTTTTCCAGACAAGATGGGCCTCGTAATATCTGCCGAAAGATCGCCCGGGCGATCTTTTGGTCCACATTTTTCTAAAAAAAAAATCGAATTCTCCATAAGATCACCCAGGGCGGGGTATCAGCCGAATCCGGTAATTTTCATAACAATTTCATATTATTTACATAATTATTTCAAACAAATTGTGATAATTAACCTGCTCAATTACACAATGCACACAATTATTAACTTACAAAACTTGTTATTAGTTACGTTCACGCACAGTTCCTTAGCACGGGCTAAGAGGTCAAATTCCTTAGCCAATCCTAAGAACACTTAGCACGGGCTAAGGAATGCTAAGTACGGGTAAAATCTGATCCAATTTTATGACGTGGCCCAGACCATTAGCACAGGCTAACAAAGTGTACACGAATGCTTAGCCAAGGGCTAAGTGTCCTCTGTGGCGACCTTTGGGTGTGAATATTATTTACGTGATTAAATATATGCAACTTTCTCATTTCGAAATGGCAACCAAGCTCAGACATAACAAAGACACAACCTAGAAGACGCATGATTTAAATCTAAGAAATGAAAAGTTAATTAGTTAAACAAATCTGAAAATTTAGAGGAATGCTGCTATATCCCATGTTCGTATAACGACTCTATAAGACAACTTTCCTGGAAGTAGCAAGACTGGGGTGCAAAAATACTACTGCTTTGTCAGGCTGAAAAAAACAAACTGTTTGCTGATAGTCGATAGAACAGAATTTTATTTTTCTGACGTTACTCCACATACGCTTCCACACTGATCGGGTCGCTGTAGTAGAGCATACAGCAGCTCCAATCGTAGACAAAATAAATTTGGTTCATTGTCTACAACATGCATTAATAACACTCTGCATTCTGTTACGCTGTTGTAAACTGTTTCTGTGCATCCAAATAAATTGGGTCTGTGCATGCTGCTTCAAAATTAGAACTTCAAAAGCAGAAATTTTGCGTTCGTAAACAGCGGCTTAACAAAGGTTACCTACTAATGGCGCCCCTTAGCCTGTGCTAAGGACTGGCCCTCCCAGTGCGTGGACGCAATTGGGTCTAGCCGAAATGCAAACATGTGAGATAAGCCTAAATCAGCTTAAATCTTAGCCCGTACTTCGTGTAGCGTGAACACTACTATTGCTTCAAGAGTGTTACAATACACAAAAGTTTTAAGTTATTTAATTATCAATTTGAGTTGAGCAATGGCACAGTGGAAATGACACTGTGGCAGTCAGAATAATGCAGAGTCTGACCAGTGTGACAGTAAAGCAAATTGGTATGACAGTACCGCTACTCTGTTTGTATCCTGATGAGAACACTGAGATTATCAGTGAACTTCACTTGGATTGCATCATACCCCCACTCCCTCCCAAGAAAGTTAATTCCTCCTGCTTCACCCTCAATCTTTTTTCATTTGTGTCATTATAGCAATCAAATATTGTAAAAGCATTAATTTTCTACATATCATACAAAATACATGTAGGAATTAAATTTGAAAAAGAGACATGCCAAATTTGTTTCATTTCTTGATTTAACAGAATTTGTTGACCTTTTCAGAACTGGAGCAAGAATCACATATTATAAACTGGAGTATGGAACTCAGCGAAAGACTTGGTAGTCGCTTGTATTCGCTGTGGAATAGAACCGCAGGTGATTGTTTATTAGATTCTGTTTTACAAGCCACATGGGGTATCTTTGATCAGGACAATACATTAAGAAGAGCTTTGAGTGAAAGTCTGAATGAAGGTGCTGCAAGGTGAGTTCATTTTCATTGTTAGACATCAAGCACCGAAAAAATAGTAATTGGTAGCTGTATCAGCGCTTGTTTCAAAACATTTCAGTACTATGCATTGATTGTTGTGATTTCTGTACTGCCTAGTGTATACTTTACGATATTTTCATTATATTGAATTGAATTGTACTTAGTACTTGGGAGGGGATACTTTAGAAAGAGTATGATTAAAAAGCATTAGGAGCGAGGAAGTCATTTAGGAAATATTTCCCACAATTCATGGGTACTCAAATTGAGAATTTGCAGGAATGATTGAATGTTTCACACTGCAAATAAATACTTTGGGATTAAATTGTGGGCTCCACCAGTTTTGCAAGTGCAGTAAGAGATTCCTCTGTATTACATGTATGTCACATGGTAGCCATACTTGTAGCCCACAGGTTTTTTTCTAGAAAAAAATTGCAAGAGGTAGGAGCACTGCAATTCAGCGGAGCCACCAAGTGGGGGAGAATGGGTAATTCTAAGTTGAAATGGAGCATTCTATGGCTTCTTTGGGGCCAAAATTACTATCAGACAGGTCACAGTTGAAGACCGTGGCCACATGTGTTTTCTGGTCAATCAGAATTTTATGGTTGCCCAAGCATCTGCTCCCCATGGTAAGGGGCGCATGGCCCCTGTTCCCTTGTTTAAAAATATCCCTGACCCACATTGGAATATTCTGATGCATCTGATACATGTGTCCAATCTGCTCTCAAATTTATTTCCTTGTAGATTCTACGTAAGGTGGAAAGACTACGAGACGATTCAAGCTGAGAACCTGGAGTATTCTTTGGATGAGGAACAGTGGCAGCAAGACTGGGCAATTATGCTGAGTCTAGCTAGTCAACCTGGAGCACCTTTAGAGCAAACACATATCTTTGCATTAGCCCATATACTAAGAAGACCTATCATTGTCTATGGTGTTAAATTTATAAAGAGTTTTAGAGGAGAAACTCTTGGATATGCAAGATTCCAAGGTAAGAGTGTCTTGCCTGTGTTATGGATTGAGTTCTGTCTATATGTTTTTTTTTTTGCTCGCACCCACACCTGTCTTCATGTTCATGGATTGAATTTCAGACTGTCTATTCAGGTGTATGTTTGGGCACTCATTTTTTTTTCTTTGGCCGTTGCTTTGTCATCCTAGAACTTTGAGAACTGGTGCACCTAACTTGCACAATTCTGATTGGTTGACTGGTTTGGTAGTCATCTTGGATTAAAGTTAAACTGGAAATTTTAAACTCTCTCTTAGGGTCTCGGCATCATGAATAAAAAAAGTAAAAAAAAATCTTTTTCTTCAGAACCACTGAACACATCACATTTTCTCCATCTATTTATGATGCTCATTAAAGTTTGCAAAGCATGTAGCATGTTCGTACTTATTATGGGAAAAATAAAATGATTTTGATAAGTCACATGGTCTGGCTGCCATCTTAGATTTCCTTCAAAAATGTCTCATGAATGCTTTAACTGATCAACTTGCTATTTTGCATGTAGCATGTATATTCAAAGCATCTTTTGAGAAAAATCACATATATATCGATGGGTACTTATTAAAGCAAATTCAGCCTTCAAACTTGGACCCAACAAAGCTGCTTTGCAGCTCTAATTTTCATCTGAGATCATTGTTATTGTGAAAATTATGGTGTACTATACATGGTAAACAGTGTCTCCATTATTCTCAGCATTGTGACAAAATTTGCAAATTCACTAATTTTTCCTTCTATATTTTTTTCGGTGCACTAACCTACATAAGCTAAGTATTGATAATCCAAATACTGTCCTATGGCTTGCATGAACACTGATAATGATACCCATGTTTATTACAGGTGTCTATCTTCCACTTCTGTGGGAGCCAGGTTTCTGTTGGAAAAGTCCTATTGCATTAGGCTATACCCGTGGTCATTTCTCTGCCCTAGTTTCCATGGATACAGACACCGACAGTAATTTAGGCGCTGGTGCTTATGTCGATAGTATTGATGATGTACAAGTGACGTACTTACCACTGACTGATAACGAGGGTAAACTTCTGCCTGTTCATTTCATAGCAACACCTGAGGTAAGTACTATAATCCATTTTAGAACCTTGTGCAAAAGTCATTTTCATGAATTTCGTAAAAAAAATGTGCCAATTAACTGCTCGCCAGGACATTAGAACTTCACAATTGTCCTTGTACAGCATCTTCGATACAGGTCTCATGCGATGTATACAACGTGTGTGAAATACTGTAAAATACTTTATTTTAGCTGTAATTAATTTTTGCTGAAAAGACTTTTTGACTGTTTTGGATGGAAATTATTTTCACTGACTTCTGACAAGTTGGATGTAAAATATTGGAAAAAAGGTATATTCGCTGGATTTTATTTTCACTTAATCATTTCTTCAGCGAAAATAGCGAAAATTAATTCCAAGCGAATATAAAGTATTTTACAGTACATGGTTTATGAAATTTGATGACTATGACGCTCACCTGCTGAAAGCCTCCAAAGGAAAAAGAGTCAGCATGCAATCATCGAGTCCAGTAACTTGTGTGACATTGCACCCTAATGAACACCTTTGAATTTTCAATTCATGAACAATTATAGTGACATAAGTTTATCGATTTAAGTATACTCGGTTACTTCATTTAGATGAACAAGCAAAGAACATGTAAACTTCATAATGTGATTGCCAGGTAAACGTGCAAAAAACACATATACATACAGTTCTCTTTGGAAATAACTTGCATCCCTCCAGCAGAAAACCGTCTTCCTTCACTTGAGGCCTGACATATGGGTCAAAATTTTCATCTTGCCTGTTCGTCATTAGATTAAGAGAAAGGTATATGAGGGTAAAATGTCTGTCCTTTCCGCCATTGTCATCATTGTTGTTGTTGTCTCCGGCGTAAACTCATGTGGTTAAAATAACTATTATAAAAAATCAATTCTCATCAGATCATTTTGATTTTATTTTTGACTGCTGAGGGGGATAAAATTAGGCATTTAGTGAATCTTAAAACACTTGTTTTACAGGTTGGAACGGAAGAGAGATTGTACCATGATTGGATGGACTGCATGGTGACTGAAGGTGGCAATCTCGTCGCTCAACAAATAATTCACAAACGAAAACGACCAGTGCAAGTCAGTCAGATGTTAGAAGAGTGGCTAGAAAGATATCGTAAGATGACAAGGCGACAGTGATTCAAGCAGACGTCTCTCGGCATTGCATAAACATGTTGATTTCAGATCAGGAGAAACATTGCTATTGATTGACTTGAATTAAACATAATTATGAAAATACATGTATCAGGAAAATTTGTTAGTTATTTGGTATTTGCTGATGAATTTTAGAATATATAGTATTATAATAGTTTAAATTTGATTCAATAGAACTCAGGGTCTACTTTATAGTAATTCATCAGCAGTTTCAGAATTTGTATAAATCATGTTTTTTTGGAGACTAGCATGGATTTACTTTTTTTGATTAATTTAACTGAGTGGCTGTCATTCAAGGAGACAAACAGCACTTGATGCATGCATCAGAAATGTAGTTTAAAGAATGGTGGTCATTGCGCCTTGTATGCACATGATGTGGGTCCCATATTAACAAAGATTGTGATTAGTGATTGTTGCACCGACGCATCCAAGGACTCAAAGTCAGTATGTACCAGTAGTTCATATGCAACCAGAAGAACCTTTTATTCATTGTTTGCCACTGGGAGAGCACCTTTGCCATCGCATATCCAGCGCATTGACCATCGCAAAGTCACAGATCATTATTTTTCAAACTCTATTGCCGCTATCCTGGAATAAATTGAGATTCGGTTGAAAACGATCAGTTGCCTGATAGTACAAACAATTGTTTTGTTTATGATTGCCTTCAAAATCTTAGCGATATCAACAGATTTGGTAGTTGGGGCAACATTCAAATTGTGTATTACATTGTATTATAGAGGATGTTAATTTTACTACCCCCCGCCGCAAACTCGTTTTTCCTTAGAAAATTCGAGACATGATAATCAGAGATATTTTATATGTCACCTTGTTAGCAGCTAAAGCAATAACTTAAATCATTTAGGTTTACGCTGGTTAAAGAACCAGTAATTGCAGTCTATGTTGTCTCTAATACAGAGATGGAATGTTGCAAATTTGTAATTAGTTATTTCTCTGTCATTGGGTTGACTTTATCACATATGTCCATTTGAACATTGAGGGCGCCCTTCCAGGGTTGTTAAAAATGCTACATTTGTTGTTACAAGTATACATATTGGTTTATTGTAGTTATTCATTAGCTTATTTATTACACTAGCAAGTCTAATTTGCAAAATAGATTGTAATTTGTTTTAAACACAGCTATTTATATTTAGTATACAAATTTAACGAAACGTGTCAGTATTTCTATATTTCAGTTCATGCTGAATTCATGAGGACTGTTATCGTGAAAGTCAGTACTGCAGACTGACATCATACTTTCCACCTCCGCTGTGTTTGAAGTACAAGTGGCTAATTTTTTTTACTCTGCGCCGACTTTGTACATTCAGAATTTAGTATATTATTGTTTACATTATATAGGAGGGTTTTGTGCTCTGGAATGAACGTGTTTTCAGCAAAAATATCTTCATGGACATTTCGTTGTTTAGTTGTTCGTAGTTTGACACCCGGATGTCATGCATTTGAGAATAGTAGATTCAGTTGAATTGATGCTGTTCTTTTTTTTTTTGGCTTTCTCTGTAATGTCTGGTGATGCGTATTACTGTGCACAAAATGTTGTGTACTTCTGATTTTATCATAAAAATATTTATTTAATCAAAAATTACTGTATATACAATAATTGCAGATCAGATTGTGGTGCTAATCTATGTAGTTAAACAGATTTAATGGCCAGTCAGTTAGTAAATGGAAGTATGTAATCCAGGTGTATATTTATCGTAATGTTACATGCTAATTAGCATTATATTCACCTGTGTTTCTATACTTTATTTCACTAACACAGCTTATACAGTAACTTATTGTACAGAGATTTGCTCTATTTAAACTCAATTCGCTAACGATCATTAAGACGTCAGTGCGAATTAGGAATACAGTTCTTAAAATCCCACTAAAACAAACACTTCCAATGAAGCATATATATTACTCCATGACAAATTCAAGACTTGATGAGTCCTTGCTACATTCTGTGCATCATATTTATCAACTTATTTTTGTGTGTGGGTGTATTCAAAATACAACTTGCAGTAGCACTTTTAGTTTATTTCATGAATTGGTCATTCTAAAATTAATTGTAATCCAGGCAACTTCAAAACTGCGGATAAGAAGTTAAAAATGAATGCAATTGTTTTCCAATAATTACATTTTTGTTAGTCATGGAAATAATTTCCATCATATCTTGAAAAAATGTTAACAGTCACTGTTATTATCGTAATATATTAATATAAGAAATTGTTTTCACTTTTGATATATGCTATATGAAGCCACTAGATAATGTAACATGATTGCTGTTTTTCTCCAAATTCACTTTTTGAATGTGGGTGTGCTAGTACCATGGCGAATAATTATGTAGTGATTTTTTTTGTCAATTGAGAGAAATTTCAAAAGAATTAGAAACTACCTCTTCCTCCTCGAAATTGTCTAAAGTGCTTTGTGCGACAAGGCATTGATTTGCATGCAGGTGAAGCAGGTCATACATGACTCGTATTTTGCTTTTTAAGATGCCAAATTTAATCTTATCATTATTGCCAATAATTGTATGTTGTGATTTCATTGATATCAATATAAAATTACATGAATCAGAGTAACTTAAACAAAAGTTTCTATGTTTGAGCACATTGAGGGCAGGCTTTCATTTTTTGTATTATCAGAGTTTTTTTATTATCAATTTTTTAACAGTTTGTTGCTGAACAGTGTACAGTATAGTTTCTAGAGTTGAGATTCTCGCCATGATTGGTGTTTTCTAGAAAACAACCAACATTTTTTAGTTAACCCACCAACAGGGAGATCGAGGGATGGCGTCATTTGCAATGTCTGGTCACTGAAGAATGAGTCAGGGAGGTAGAAAACAATATATTTTATTGTTTTTTTTACAGGACGAGAACTTGCCTGATTCATACTTCTATAGTAAACTATCAGTACATTTTTCATACATTTGGGCAAATTAGGAAATTGTTCTTCATGTGTTAATTGTCACATCTGCATCTCCAAAAGTGAGGGTGGACAATCAGCCTCGATGACATTGGCTTCCAAAATTAATATCCAAACACAGTATGTATACGATCATAAAAGGTTTTCACAGCATTTGATTTTGTTGTCAAAACTTCCACCTGTTGACAGTTAAAGCCCACATGCTCCGCCATACGAATGCAATGTTCTTTTTGTTGTTTACTGCGATTGTAGTTGCATCCATCTCTACTCTAACATCAATAGTGCTTTTGTTAATAGACCATATCTTGCTGCATATACAAACGCATACATTGTATACAGTTTTATGTGTGAAAAGTAAATAGACCATTTTCCGTTCACTGCGAGAATCATGCGTTATGCGTGAAACAGGACAAACAAAGGTCATAGCGTCGTAGTCGCGTCAAACATCGCGTGGGATTCGACAAACGCGAAAGTATTTCGGGGACATTTTCATGCTTAATAATGTGCTGTCCACATTTGATGATAGGCAATTTCGATTAAGTAAGGGTATTCGGAAGCAATATTCCTCTGTCGAAGATCAGCCGGTCAATGTAAGCTACGAAATAAAGAAATTCTAGTTCAAAATCAAATCGTTCGATTTTTGCAGCAGACATTCGACGCGCGTCTTTCATGCATCTCGCGAGATCTCGCAATTGTACGGAAAATCATCTATTAACTGAGGCAGACGACCGGTTAATATCATTTGCGAAGAAATTTTATGACTTTTGTTTACCGTTATGAATGTCCTGAACGATGATGGTGAGGCACTGCAGATTCCGTGAAATGTTCACGGCTACAAAATGTTGCAGTTTATTACCCAAATCGCAAAATTTACAAAATTTCTTTAGTGAAATTAATAGAGTTTACAGTATTTTTACAAATTCAGAGTGCATTAGTTGTTTACCTGGTTTCTCAGTGATTGACAAAAAACAATAACTCTTATTAGTGACCTGCTTCTATAAGGTTATACATACTAGCACATCCAGGGTTCAAAGTTACATTGCCATTTAATTTCCCCTCAAAACATGACATTTTTAGGCTTGAATTAACCCTATATGTTAACCCATTGAGCACCAAAGTTAACTTTTGGAACCATGCACAATTTTAAACCCCTCTAATTTATTCATAATTTTACCAAACCTTTGATCAAGACATGTTACAAATATGAAATTATGTTCAATTGGTTCAAAAATAGTATGGAAAAATGCATAAAAACAGGCTAAATTTAAAAAAAAAGATATGGTACTCAAAGGTTTAAGGTGTAATCAGTAGCAACATAGCATAAATTACTGTGGCTGTAGTCATACTCTGAAAAGTGCCAGGATGTGTGACCTTTAGTGATTAAATGCTCTGGGGTAGTTTGGTGTAATATGTTTTTAATGATATACATTTTACAATTATGCAATCACATCACATCACTGTCACACCTATGTGAATGTCTAAAATCTAAAATGTCTAAAAATGGGTTAACGTGAAGAACGCAATATTTGAAATCCACATTTAGTGTGATTCTTATATTTACTAGACATGTTGTCTGGTGACCTATATAAATATCAAGGCAGTTTGTTTTTCATACATACACCTGTTAACTTCATTTAAAACTGCCATAATAAGGTTATCTAAGATAACTATCACTGTATTTCAGCTACCATCTATGGTATGCGTTGCATTTTATTTTTTTTAACATTTTCCTCATTTTTTTTTTTTTAGAAGCAAACTTTTTTTGTAACAGTATTAGGCCATTCAAGAGAAATCTGTTTCTCTCATTTAAATATGAATTTACTTAGTTGTAAGTACTCCATGTCTGTTTTATACAAATATAACTTATTGATCTTTTTTCCCCTCGCAAGTTAATTTATTGTTTTTTAGTTAGTTTATATCATCCTTAGTTGAAGGAAGGGTAGGGTAATATTATAACATTTTCTCTTTTTACTGTAAATGTTTGAGGAAGGTGAGTGATGCAGACAAAAACAGACCTGTATCTTGTTGGTCATTTTTGTGAAGGTACTCACTGATTAGAATGAATTTGATTTTCCATCTCCCAATTCATACTGCAGTATCTTCCACCACTTGTGACATTTTTATTTTAATTTTTTTGTGTATAAATTCTCATGCATAATACACCCTTATTTAACAGTCATCTGAAATTGATTACTATGTGAACATTCTTATTGGGTGAGACTCTTCATACATGTAGTTTATGGTACGGTCCCTTTGCGGAAAATAAACGATTTTCTGTTTATACAAAAATGTGATCTACCACTGCTGAGATTAATGGTGAATCGCATTTAATCCACCACTGAGACTGTTATATTTCATCTTTTCATGACAATATCCAAGGAGTAGCGTATATATTTACTTATAAGCACATGGCTGTTTCACATTTTCTAAGACTGATTTTGTTTTATAAAAGTGTCACTTTGGTGATGAACACACCATTTTTGTATGTTTATTATTAATGAATGCAACCACACCTTTGACGAGCCGTGGTCTCTGAACAGCACGTGCGTTTGAATTTTATATAAACAACAATGTATTTTACATGTGTACATTGCTACAAGTCTGATATCGAACAGGAAGCGACGCGATGACCGCTACCCTTTAACCTTGATTACCATGACAAGTATTATTGTAATAATTATTACCCATGATTCACTGATCTTGATTGTCCTAATTACTTTTTATTGTCTTGGATTGTGCAATAGTTAGAGAGTTGATTTCTTGATATAATTAAGAGTTTTTTTGTTTGTTTTTTTTACATTTTTGCTTACTGATAAGTGCATGGTATTTCATTGAGGAAATAAACATAGCATTAAAACATGTAATTGTTTAGTGATTAATCACATGGTCCCATTTTTATAGCGATCAGCTATAACGTAGACTGTCAATCTCTCAGATCTTGTTTTTCGCTACTTTTGTTAAAGTAAAACATTGGTGTATGTTTACTTGACAATTTGATTGTGGTGCTGGATGGACGTCATCGGGTAGTGTCATCTTGATGTCACTGAAGAATCATACAGCCATGGAAACTTGCAAATTAAGTTGAATTAATTTCTGCAAAAAAAGTTTCCAGTTAAGTAGTACGTCTTGCACACATCTGGTCTATAATGACGAACTCATGACAGCACTAACTTGCATATACTGTTAAACCATTCATTCACACGTACCTAAGAATACTAATTTACGCCCAATGTACAAACAACAAAACTAATCAGGTTTAATATATTTTATTTTACAAGGAGTTAACAAAATCCATATGAACATGTTTTAATAATAACACAGTTTTTGATAAAGAAAATTTAATACATTTTATTAGAAAATAAAGTGTTTACAATCACACAGAACATAAAAGCTTTGCTGCTATTTTTACTAAGTGCAGAAGACCACAAGATAACAATAATTTGCATAGAGTTGTTCATCATGAAGAAAAATCCTCGGGAATGGACTGACATACATTTGTAGAATTCATTTTAGCAGTGCTGAGCAGTTAACCCACAGAGATAACCATAGGAATTTAAAGAATTATATTTAATCTGACCATATATTATATAATAGGGAAAGTTTATTTAAAAATGCATTAATAAAATGTATATAAACACATATGCGCACTGCACGCACAGACTCTTTATTTTATGGGTTTAACACACTGCCTGCTGAAAGTCTCGACAGATATCCGCAATAAATTAAGGAAAAAACCAGCATGAGCATATGATTGTGGCAGTTGTCGCATCACTCTACCTTTGATATATATTTTTTTTAAAATTTTACTACATCTAAACAGACATGTAGCTTCATGCCTACAAACAATTAAAGCAAGGAGAGTCAATGCTCCAGTATGCTGAGAATAAATAAATGTAATCAGAATAGACTCCTGATATTTTGGTGTCAATATAATTATTCATAACTAGTGTACAACTAAATATATTTTGTATCAAAGGCAACGTTGAAAAATATTTTAATTTACATACTATACATACACGTAGTGTGTACAGGGACTTTCAAACTCCCGCAATTTGAAGGTTTAACTGATCATCTTAAACTTCTCTATTGCCCATAAATACTTCTATTACTTCAGTAAGATGATTCAACCCGGCGATTTAAGAAGCATAACTCAAAAAGTCAGTCAAGATTATGTCTAAGAATGATATTATCAGCCTTGATGAATTCAGCCACACAATGGCTGAAATGCTTGTATCCTTTCTGATAGACTGGCTTGCCAGTTGCAGTTAATTGCTCCCCCTCCCCCCGAATAGAAGCGTACATACATTTTGAAACATATGTTGATGAATACCGATAAAAAATGAACATGTTTATCATTATGCAAGAAGTATTAAAGAGCGGTAGTCGTCGCGCCACGCATGCAAGAGATATATGGGTTGAGAGAAAATCAATGTTTATCAAAATACAAATGATGCGCAACGCAATGACCGCTATGCATTATGGTAGAAACGTATAGAAGGCAGTTTCTGAGTACACTCGAAAACATTAAATGCAAAATAATATATTTTTACGAGAGATGACAAATAAACACTGAAATTCTTGAATTATGGCTTCTGTTACAATAACACATACGATGATGCTGCTCATTACTGCCATCAAAATTTGATCAAATACACCACACCGGCTGCAGATAGAGGGTCTGATATCATGTGACTCACCACTAAAAGGTGCAAGGCAAGTTAACTGTGGTGCACATATTTGATTCCTGAACGGTAGATTATGTGTATTGGTTTCTATTAACTGACAGTAAATTACTACAATTTCAATTATACCAGAAGAATGCTTGTAATTGCAAGTAAAAGAAGGTTCAATAATGATATGCAAGGTAATTTGAAATATGGTAAAATATCAGAAATGGCTGCGGGACAGTCATCTTATATCAGACATTTCTGGAGAGTAAACAATTGATTTGTTATGATGAAAATGGCCACCAGTCAGCAATCTTTGGTTCAATTCATACAACTGAAGCAATATATGAATGAAAGACTAAGACAGGGAACAACATTCATACAGCCTTGTTATCACCCTCTAGTGGCAGAAAACAACATCAGATACTTCTTTCACTCTGATTTCTTTTACATTTTTGTCAACGGGTAGTCTAATAAATTCAAGATTTTATTTGAGCTGCAGTAAAATAAACAGCATGCAACTCACCCAAACCTATTAGTTGGGAGAAAGAAAAGAGGGGGAGGAAGGAAAGGAGTCAGCAGCAGAGATTGTTATTGATACATATTTGTACACAGATGACAGTACCAATGCATACTACACTTGTGGAGTGACTATGCTAACAAAACAACCTGACAACAGTACACAAATAATATCTATTAAACTTGTTTCGTTGCCACTACTCGTAGTAAAGCCACACTAAGGTGACATACAAGTCAACGACAAATTTAAAAAAAAAATAAAAAAAAAGGTATTTGTAGATCATCTCTATAAAAACAAATATTCAGAATTCACTTTATTTTTCATTTTTTTTTTTTAGCCATTATGAATACCGGTAATCTCTTGCGAGTACCTTAATTTGAATACATATAGTTGGGAGGTGATAGGTAACGATCACGTCCACTCTGATGTAAACTGTTTTGTATGTACATTAAAAAATTATTAAATTGCACATTCTTTGTAGATTATTCCAAATCTTTACAGTAAAAATGATACTGAAAACACGATCCACACTGAGATAACAGGATGTTAAAGATATTGTTAACGCTTTCATTTTTTGTGAGAATTAATGAATATATTTTTGCGAAAGTAAATTAAGTTAGTTTTGCAAGAGTAAACACCTTTTGAAAGAGAAATTTTTTTGTAAAATTACTTGGGCTCTTTAGGCAGGGAGGAGTTTTGTGATAGAAACATGAAAATATAACAGTTTACACACAGTGACTCAACAACAGTTGTTTGTTGCGGGACTGCGGTTTACAGTATACAACTATCTGCCCATGTGTTCCAGAGAAAGAACAAGTATGGCTAAATACGTTTTTTGTACATAAAATCAATTATCGATAAAAAATAATATTCTAATAAAAATGCACAAGATCCTTGCACGTGAAAAAAAAGCACATCCTGTAAATTTATCACAATTCTGACCTGTGGTGGCGCACTTCACCATTTTGTGACAATGATAGTGATTTTTTTTTTCTGAATCACAATCATTTGCTATAATTGTTAATTTAGATATTCTGCTCAAATTACATAAATTTATTCAACTACATCCTCTGAGACATTCCCATAAAGTTCATCTTTGTGCAGATACCGCAGTCCATCCAGTAAACTGAGGTCTTTCCAACATGTCCTTTTAAACTACTTTTTTGCCATATGTCATACATAAAGCGTGGTCCCTGATGTCGCCCCAGCCGCCGTTCGGTTTAGATGGCTTAGCAGTCATTGTCTTTGTTTTCTGACCAAGGTGCAACTCTTTTGGAAACAGGAACATTGAGTTTTTTTGAAGTATGTCCTTAATGTGATTGACTTTGTCAGCAACGTTGCACTGCTTCCCATTATGATGCACACCACTACAAACAAAAAATAAAGCGAGATCCTTGCTTAGTATAATATTTGACAGCAATGAATCTGAGAAATCTGAGATTAATAGATAACGTCCACCACTGATACAACCCATTGAGTTATGTATTACATAATAATATAAAATGTGTTTTATCAACTGTTATTGATGAATTTTAAAGATAAAAATGACTGTCCAGGCTGCCTGTCTAGCAAATTTCATTCTGATCAAAAACGCATTACGAATTTGACACACACTGTACAGTGACAATATAATCTGAGAATTAATTTTATCTGATTAAAGCATTGTACATAGCTTTCAATCCATGGAGGAAATTTTATCATTTGACGAGAAAACGAGGCAGGAAGATAGTGGGGTCATCAGCGAGTCAGATAAATGTAATATGCGTTTGAATTTCAGAAATAATGTCAATCAAATCTAAATCATGCCGGCCGAATGCATCACAAATCAGTCGTTGTTGAACCATACATACATTTTGTACAAGGAAGAATTTGAAACTGTACATGATCAAAAATGATCAACAAACAAAAGCTGCTCTCTTGATTGTTCTGAGTGTCAGGTGTTACGGTTGGGGAACCAATTAGGCACAATCAATCAAGTAGCTCTGCATCAATCACAGATCAACCCCACTCAGATATTTCAATACAAACCGTATTAGCTCTATTAGTAGCACATATGTATTTACATACTGGTAATGTCAGAGGTGTGTCTTTAGTAATAATAAGTTACTAGTATATTTTTTAGAGTCTACCAAGCAATAAATGTAACTTGATTTATATGCACAACAGCAAACGACAAATATGGTACTGTAGTTGTTTTTATAATTTACATTCAGTAACTATACAGCTGGAAATTGAGATTATTAATTAAATTTACATACGATGTGCATGTAAACCATATTTCATGAAATAAAAAAATAAAAAATTGTTTTATCAGGAAAGAATAAATAACAAATTGAATTAATTCTCAAACATATGGTGTCTATATGTTGTAATCAAATTTCCTGACCTCTTCTTAACAGCTTGCATATAAATAAACGGATTGTTCCGGTTGAATATATAGTTCCAGATGATTGTTGACATTTATATGAATTTAGATTAGTTGGGGAAAACACAAAATATCAACCAATTGTATATAGCATATATTGAATTCTAAAATTTGTGATTAATAATATCGTGTTTTTGACTTTCCTTATACTAAATACTAGTAGTAAAACATGTTTTCTCATTTATTATGCTGATTGTTGCATGGTTTAATGGTGCAATTTTAAAGTAACAATTAATGTAGATTTCTGCAGTTTGACAAAATGAATATAAACATTGTCCACATGTCTGGAGCAAATCATTTAAAAACAAAACAAAAACAATTATTTAGTGACAAGTGAAGGAAGTTTTCAAGGATGGATCAAACAAAGAATAATATTTTATCACCAATGCATATCATTCATTCTATCATTCTATCATTAATTCACTCACTCACTCACTCACTCACTCATTTATTCATTCATTCTATCATTCAATCATTCATTCACTCACTCACTCATTTATTCATTAATTCTATCATTCAATCATTCATTCATTCACTCACTCATTTATTCGTTCATTCATTCATTCATTCATTCACTCATTTATTCTATCATTCTATCATTCAATCACTCATTTATTCATTCATTCAATCATTCATTCATTCATTCATTCATTCATTCACTCACTCATTTATTCATTCTATCATTCAATCATTCACTCATTCATTCTATCATTCTATCATTCATTCTATCTATCATTCATTCATTCACTGCCAGATTGGATTTTAACAATAACATGGTTGAAATCAACTTCAGTAGAGAGTGAGATGTGCAAACAATAAAACTATAACATTTTTTTTTTTAAAGATAATCTCACCAAGCCATGTGATGAAGAAACCTCATCATCTAGACAGATTGCGATATTGTGTTTGAATATTGGAATTATATAACATGTCACATAACGGATAGATACCAGGTATAAACAATAAAACTATAAATTTATTTTTTCTAAAGGTAATCTCACCAACATGTGTGATAAGGAAACCTTATCATCTCGACAGATTGTGATATTGTGTTCGAATATTGAAATTAAAATGTAACAACACAGATAGATACCAGGTAGTAAGTGACAAAATCCAAAAATATCAGAATACTGTATTTATTACTGGTAGAAGCACACACAAAACAAAACATTGCATGTGTTGTTTACTGGTATAGTGATTGCTATAAAAAAAAAACAGGAATCCAGGTCCAATACTTACCATTCACCGATATGGAATACTCGGGGTGACTTTACAACTATAGCCATTAGTGAACTTGACATACAATGCTTGCTAATGTGCTGTAAAGTCCAGTCCCAGTTATAGTCGTCAAATGTACAGAATTCCTGTAGCGAAAATTACACAAGTTATTTTAAAAACTAATGTACCTTGCCATTATGATGCTGAGGTGCACATCAGTAAAAGGAAGCTACTTCCAATGTTGGTAAGAAATCAGCCAACAGTGCACATCAAAAAGCTACAATTAAGGATTGTCTATAAAACATGGAACCAGAACCGGAATCTGTGGAGTAACTCAATTTAAATGGCAATTTTTTATCGAAAAAATTACACTTTAATTAAATTGCAATTATAAAATAACAAAAAATAACCTGCCTTGGCACTGAATTACAACCAAATCTCTAAACCTAATGTCAAGACACTAATTTCTTTGAAATGACTTTTAAATTAATACATAATTTTTCAGTCATGTAATTACGGTTCTGGTTCCAAGTTTTATAGACATCCTCAAAAACCATGCCTAAACCCTAAGTTGTGGCTTCTTACAAGCGTCATTGTTGAACTTGCTGTTCCTATTGAGATAGATGGTGCTAGCAGGATTGATAAATAGAACATATCAAATTTAAATATTATGTTCTTAAGCTGTATGAAATTTGTTTTGATGTAGAGAGATACTTACTCTAGAACATCCCTGTAGCTTGTTGAATGTTTTCCTGTCCATCGCCATCCCCATATTATGTTTACTTGCATGCCATAATAAAGCATCAACCTGAAAAGAAATAGTAATAAATGTTACAAAAGAATCTATCGAGAATATTGGCAGCCATCTAAAATGAATTTTGAGAATATTGGCAGCCATCATGGAAGATAATTTTGAAAATATTGGCCGCCATTTTGGAAGAGCATCTTGAAATTATTAGTAGTCATCTTGGAAGGGAATTTTAAGAATATTGGCAGCCATCTTAGAACAGCGATTTTTGGGAATATTGGCAGCAATTGATTTTATAGAATGTGGCAGCCATTTTGGAACATTTGCAGTCATTTTTGATAAATGGATTGTGCGAATATTGGCAGCCATATTGAAACAGCAATTTTTGAGATACAAATGTATATTTGCTGACATCTTGGAAGAAGTGCATTTTAAGAATTTGAAAGCCATCTCAAATCTTGTTTTACAAGAACATTGACAATCCATCTTGTAACAGTTGGTCTTGATAAAAGTGTATTTATAAAGTATTCATGAAATTTGAATACCTTGTTGCTCCGATCTGAATAGTGTATAGTCTTGTCATAAGTACCAAGTGTTAATATGTCACATTCAGGACACGCACTGAAATGAAAAGATGTAAAAATCATTGAAAGCGTAACAAGACATATCACATCACAGTCCCCATCATTTAATTATGAAATACTAATGTTAAAATAATACATGAAACATCTGCAAACAATTGAATTAATATGTACTCTATGTGGGTACAACTCATCATAAAGTGATTTCCCCTAATCTAGTATTGTACTGATATAACTGAAAACTTCCATTGACCCCAAGTACACAAATGCAACCCAACTATGTTGCATACATGTATACATGCTCAAGAAACTGCATTCATAAATCTGAGTAAACCTTGATGTACCTTTAATAACAACTTTACTTCTTTGTTAATTCAGGTTTTTGTATATTACCAGGACCTGGGTTTGTTTCAGTATCACCACTATAATTCCCCTCAAAATGTAGCCTTGACACCCCTCTACAGTTTCCAGAGATTGGTAATGGTACACCCATCTGTCACTGATCAGATCAAGGTCATGACCAGGTCATGACATTACTAAAAACCTTAGCATTACAATATACATGTAAGCTAATTATTTATTCTGAGCATGCTCAGTTGTTCTCTCAGTGGTGTTGGGAGAGGTAATTTTGGATGAAAATCATGAAAAAGACCCACTTACGATATTCAGATCTGAAGTATTCTGACAAAAATATCACATGGCACATGTATATTGGGATGAACAAAATGGTGGATTTGATGACAAAAATATCACACATTTATTTCACAATTATTTCACATCTATACCTTTTTTTGAAATTATACATCACTTTAAGTGTTGATAAGAAATCAGGAGTCACAAAGTGATCTTCTTCTAACAGCAGTACTAAACCATCATGGCTAACTGTGGCTTGTAAACCAGTGAATACATGTTGCAACTGAAATACAAAAAAAAATCAAAGAAAGCTTAGAAAGAACTCCTGTGTGCTGAGAGTATTGAAGACACATAAAAAACTAATTCAAAATTACTTGTACTTGAGATATTGATGGAATAGCTGAAAACTAATTATGTAAATCAGGTAACTGATATGAACAGATTTGAGTTTAAAACTAATAAGGCCTGCGTAATGTAATATCTATGTACCAAGTTTCATATTAATATGAACAAATTTCAACCCAAAATTAATTGGGCCTGTCTATTTTATTTAAATGTGATGATCAGTAATTGAGATATCAGTGTTAATTAATTATTTTAATTAGGTGATTAATAAGCATAAATATTTACCAAAAACTAATTGTGTCCCTGCATAGTCCTAGGTTCATTGAAATGTGATGATGAATACTTTATAAAAGTTTCATTAAAATCCAATTAGTGGTTCTTTATATATCAGTGGAACATTCATGGAAAAAATTAACTAATTATGCAAATAGGTAATTAATATCAACAATTATTTACCCTAAAACTAATCAGGTCTCTGCATAGTCCTAGAGGATCTATGTAGCAAGTCTCATTGAAATATGATGATCAGAACTAGAGTTATCAGGCGAAAAGCTGAAAATTAACTAATTATGCTAATAAGGTGATTAATATGCACAAATATTTACCCCAAAACTAATCAGGTCTCTGCACAGTCTTTAAGTAACTGTGTACCAAGTTTCATTGAAATGTGATGATTACTACCACAAAAGCTGAAAATTAATTAATTATGCAAATTAGGTAATTAATATGTACTGATATTACACTAAAAACTATCAGGTCTGTGCAGTGTCCTATGATATCTATGTACCAAGTTTTATTGAAATGTGATGATTAGTACTTGAGATATCAGTGGAAAAGCCAAAAATTGATTAATCATTATGCAAATTAGGTAATTAATATTGCACAGATTTTTACCCCAAACTAACCAAATCTGCGCATTAGTTCAGAGCATCTATGTGCCAAGTTTCATCAAAATCCAATGAGTAGTACTTTAGATATCAGTGGAACAATCATGGAACATCTAAAAATCAGCTAATTATCATGCAAATTAAGTAATTAATATGCATGGATTTTTACCAAAACCTAATAAAATCTGCCCATTGGCCCAGAGCATCTATGCACCAAGTTTCATAAAAAATCAATGTATGGTTCTTGATATATCAGTGGAACAGACACACAGACAGACACACTAACTGTGAAGACTCACTTTTTGTGCTTCGCAAATGAATAAGGGATTTAATATATTTGTAGCAGCATTTTAACTTTTTTTACCACCAGACTTTCTCACTCAAATTCTTTTGGAAATGAACCCTAGTTTCGGGCCAACAGACAAACTTTCAATTTTCAGTTTTTAAATTTGGCTATTTTTGTCCCAATCTTCTGAAAGAAAGCGCAGACTCAAATGGAAAAAAAACAGGTGGTGAAAGGGTTAATTTCCTGAATACATGTACATCATTCTGATTGGGCGAGAACTTGTTTTTGATTGGAGATGCATGTAATACAACTGAAGACAGAATGGTATGTACAACATAGTATGTGGAGTCGAGAGATGCATATATTACAACTGAGGACAGAATGGTATGTACAACATAGTATGTTCAGCCTGGAGATGCATATATTACAACTGAGGACAAAATAGTATGTACAAACATGTATGTTGATCAGTTCACAGCATGTCATAGAAACATAAAATGGAAACAAAAACAACTACATGGCACAGTCAGTTTATATATACATGTACAATGTACATTAATAATTTTGTACTACACACCTTCCACCACCAGTGGTGTTTTGTCATAGTGTATTTCGGCTCCCTATAATGGCCGTATTGATCGGGATTCTCCCAATTGTTGCATTTCACTTCCTCCGCTCTGAAAAAAACAAAAAAACAAACAATACATGAAAACTGCGCTTGTCGTTAAATGAACACTTTAAATTCACTCACCGGTGAGTTATACAATAACTGAATTGTACAGGAAGAACATCATTACTGCCAGTCACAGACGCATTTATAGTATAATACTAAATTTTCAAAATAAAACCATTTATATATTTGCCATGCTTGTGTCGTGTTGGCCATGTGACGTATACACAATGTGTAATATGCATTGTTTACAATGTACATGGAATTCAGAATACACTATTCAACAAGCGAGTCTGTGCTTTAACGTACCATGAAATAGTTAGTACATGTATAAAGCGAAAACTAAAATATGTTTTGCTTCTTGTCATTTTGAAGAAAACTGTGCCCCATACATTTTTTTTTGCAATTGTGTATTGATTATTCACAAAAGTAAATGTTGTTGTTTCAATACATGTACTATGTAGTAACAAAATTCAATACATGAAGGGACAAAGTGGGTAATTAGATATACATACAAAATGTAGAAAGGTAAACAATGTCAGGGAAAAAATAGCACTTATTATTAGGTTTAAACCAATAATGCTTTCAGACCAGATCTATTCATGGGAAATACTTCACTACATCCACATACATACTGTAAAACAATTGTATACAGTGCATGTACATACATGTATAAATAAATTATGGCAAAAATATTCCTTTCTTTTTATTAAATTACTAGAAAGTCTTTGATCTTAAAATATGAGACAAGACCTATAAAATGATGATTACAATGTAAAACGTGGAAAAAACAATGGCTGATACTGTTGTATACGCATGTTATAGTATGTTAAACAGGACAAAGACTGGAAAAAAGAACAGATAAATTTCATAAATCTATACCAGGCATCCAAACACTTTGACATGAGATGATTGATGTACATTGCCAAGGTTTATAAAAAATATATCAGACTAATTTATTTTCAAATGTAAGAAAAATATTGAAATAATGCAGATGAATCAAGCAATTTTGAGAATTTCAAATAATAATACGGGACTGCTGGTTACAAAAAATCATTCCCAGAAATTCAATGATAAAGCTACACATACAGTACATGACATTACTGTAACTTGGAAGGACATTAATTTTAGCTGTCTAATGTTATGAGGTTCTATTTTCCGTTGTATTAATTAACATCTTAAATTAGCAATGTTATATTAATTAACATCTC